TCTTGATCTTAGGGCCATGAGTTCGAGTCCCACAGGGCTGGGGCGGGGCAGGCGAAGAGTGGGAGCCGGACTCCAGGAAACCCGGAGGAGGCCGGCGAAGTAATCTGGGATCACGCAGGGCTTGACCAAGGCTAGGACGGAGCCTAAGAAAAAGGGGCAGGTACCCAGATAGGAGGCGGAAATGGGGCGGGGCGGGTAGAAAGGAGGACTGAGGTGGGGCTAATCCAGAGTCTCTAAACGGGAGCTGCCGGCTTGATCCTCCGCACGCCCCCTCTGCCCTCCCACAGAGTTCGTGGGCCAGCCACTAGACTATCTGCGCCCCGCGAAGATGACTCCCTCCCCCCCAACTCTAGTGCAGAAGCAGCCCTTCTCCCCTTCGCCAGCCTGTGTGCAGAAACCTGCTATGAAAAAGTAAAGCGTTTGCGGAGCAAAACGGGCTGCGTGTGGTGGGGCGGGGCACAGAGCGGACGCGGATCTTTTGCAAACATCTTTATTAATCTTGTATAAAAATAAGGTCCATGGAGAGTTCCCGGAGCTGGGGGTGGAGCGCGAGGTTGCACTTTATAAGTTACAGGCCAGGCTCCGGCTGAGGCTAAGTATGGCTATTAGGGGGAGAGGGGTGCTGCAAGCAGCATTTGGGGGAGGGGCCGGCGATGCTGTCCCCCCCACGCCCCCGCGCCCGACCACTTGAGGTGGGACCATCTCGGAGAACGGCGGCAGCAGCAGAGGGGGCTGCCCGGCCCAGCCGAGCTGAGGACCACCTTCCTTGAGCCCCTGAGCCCCAGCTTGCCACCCCCCCCCCCCACTGCCCACTGAGTCCATCTGCCAGAAAGAGCGGTTACAGCGAGAGGTCCGAGGTGACCTGCATGGGGGGTCCCGGGGGGCGCCGACGAGCACTTCTGCGGCCTGTGTCTGCACGGATGTAGGGCTGGTTCCGCAGATCTGGCAGCCAAGAGGAGAGACACTTACCTTCTGAAGTCTGCCCCGGGGCTAGGAGTCTGCCTCCCCATTGTAGGGACCCAGGTGGTGTGCATGTGGGAAGGGACCTATGTTTACCAGACCCCGCTCAAGCACACCCCAGCCACGCATGGCCCAAGGGAGGGTAGCATGATCCAGTCCCCCGACGGGCCCCCAGGGTTGTGGGCAGCTTCTGGGATCACAGGCCAGGCTACCCAGGTACCTGGGGGCTAGAGAGGGATCTCTTCTCCCAGGCTGGCCTCACAGAGGAGCCTGGACGTCCGCTTGCCAGTGCGGGCCGTGAAGGGCACCGTCTTGAGCACTGAGGGTTGGGAGGGAGGAGGGGGGAGAGAAAGGAAAAAAGACAGAAAAAGTAGCAAGAAGCAGTGAGACAGCCAGACCCCTAGGGTGGGGAGAGGGGGGAGGACAGCATTAGAAGGACAGAGAGAGGATAGGACAGGCCCAGCCAAAGCCTCACCTGTGATGATATCTTCAATGGCCCCGTCGCGGTCACTCTCATAGATAAGTGGCTCCTTCTGCTGCTTCCGCTTCAGCTCGGAGATGAGGTCCATCTGCTGCCTCCGGGCCTTGGGTGGTGATGGGGGGGTAGGGCATGGAAGGTGAGTAGCTCCAACTCCAGGATCCCCTCTCCCCAGGCCACCAGACCCTAGAACATCTGTCTGCCTGGTCCCCCACAGCAGGCTGGAGCAGGAGGAAGCCCTTCCCATCCCAGGCTGCTGGGGCACCGTCCTCACCTTGGGCAGGGTCTGTTCACAGAAATGAGGGTACGGAAGAGGGCCAGATCTTTGGGATGAGGATCCCTGCAAAGTGCCAAGCTCAGGCGCAGCTGCCTACCTTGGGTGCTGGGGCTTCTTCTTTGCCGGGGACGTCGGCACCTGCCTCCTGGGTTACTGCCTCCTTCTTCCACTGTTCCACCTCCTGTTCAGCTTTCTGGGGGGCCAAGGTGGGTCTCCGTGAGGGGAGTCTTATCCTACCCCCAGACAGAAGCGTCCCCCACCCTCCACACTGCCCAGGTGGAGAGGCAAAAATGCCCCGCAGGGGTCCCAGCCTGCCCACCAGACACACATACCTTGTAGGCCTTGATGAAGCGGCTAAAGAGGGAAAAGAACATGGAGGGGGACGTGGTCTTGGGGTTCTCTCCGAAGTACTCCACCACGGACTCGTAGGCCTCCTGTGGGCACAGCCTGTCAGCCCCACCAGCACGACCCCTAGGAGCTCCATGTGCCTTTAAGACACTGGCCACTTCATCTCTGCTCCTCCAGGCAGGTGGGCCCCCTGCCCCCTCCCCCATTTCATCCCCACCACCACCTCCACCCCACCTCCAGGGCCCGGCCAGCCCCGGCCCACCTGAGCGGTCTTGCTGTCTGCCAGCAGCTTATCCATGGTGGGCGAGTTGGACCTCAGGAACTCCTTGAGCACCATGCAGTCGTCCTGCCGCACAAACTCTCGCTGGGTCAACTCCAGGCCTCGCTGCAGGGAGCGCACATCCCCTAGGACGCTGTCCAAGGACACTGAGGGGGGGATGGGGCAGCACAGAGGCAGGGAATCAGAGAGGTGGCATTCCCGTCCAATGACACCCTGTGGTCCCCTCACTTTTTCTCAACCCCTATCAGCCCCCAGGGCAGAGCCCCTCCCCGCCCAGGAGGGGGTACCTGCACCAATACCTGAGCCTGCCTTGTCCAAGAAGTGCAGGTCGCTGTGGAAGCCTGTGAGCTGTGGGTACTTCTCGGCAATGACCTTCACCAGGTAGTGCAACAGCGTCTGCTTGCGGTCAGTCGACTTCATCTCCAGCAGCTGCATGCAGGCCTGTTGTCAGCCGCAGGCCACCGCTGTCCCCCATCCCCCAGGCCGGGGAACCCCTCCTTGTGCCCCTCACCACATCCAGGCTCTGGAGCCGGAAGCCATAGGCTGCCCCACGCTTGCTGCTGTTCATGTAGTTGCCAAAGGCCAGGACAATCTGGGGGGGAGGGGGGTGCTCAGCAGGTGCTGGGGCTGAGGGAACCCCCTCAAGTATAAACTACACAAGAAAATGTGGTGAAAAGCAAGCCCCACACGCTCAGCCCAGACTAGACTCCTGCGCCGGCCCCTCAGGTCCATGACCATGTACACGCGTGTGTAGCTGTCTGACATATGTGCCTGGCCTCCCCAATGTTTTTAAGATTTTATTTTTAAGTAATGTCCACACCCAACGTGGGGCTCGAACCCACAACCCCGAGATCAAGAGTCACATGCTTGGGGCGCCTGGCTGGCTCAGCTGGAGGAACATGCGACTCTTGATCTTAGGGCCATGAGTTCGAGTCCCACATTTGGTGTAGTGTAGAGATTTCTTAAATAAATAATTATAAACTGAAAAAAAAAGCCTTATAATACTCAATCGACTGAGCCAGCCAGGTGCCCCTTAGCATACCCAGTGTTGCCCTCTGCTGTTCCCACCCAGAACTGCACGGCTGACATCCCCTCAGCTGCGATGTCACCGTCTAACAGCCATTTCTACTGGCTCCCGGGACCTCCACTAGACTCCACTGAGCAGGTGTGGGCGCTCTGCTAATCACACAGTGATCCCCAGAGGGGGCTTAGCCCTCAGGAGGAGTCTAAGGTGCACTGTTGTAGACAGGACCTCCACCCTGCCTTAGCTTTGTCTTTCTATGTGAGAGCTGGGAACATATCTGTTGCATCCTAGGAGTGCAGGGCAAGGCCGGGGTCTCCCCCTCACACGACCCAGAACAGGCGAGGAGTCATGAGTGGGCCCCACTTCCCAGGCCCTTGCCCCGGGCTCTCACCTCCAGGATCTGGCGGAGTTTGTCAGAGGACTTGATGGACATTGAGGCTGCAATTATGGCATTCAGTTGCTGGGGGTGCAATTGGAGAGGCAAGATAAGTTGGGGCAGGGTGGGGGGCAAGCCCATGGGAGGCTCAAGTACTCCTACATGCCCTCTCCCCGCGGAGGCTGCTAGCTGCCGCCTCGCATCCCCAACCCAGAACACAGCGCCCTGCCTGCCCCGCCCACACCGCCCTGCCCCGCCCACACCGCTCTGCCTGCCCCGCCCACACCGGCATGAGCAGCTGGACAGTATCCGGAAAGTTGCCCAGGAAGGTGAGCGTGGCCATGCGCTCGGGCAGGCGCGGGATGCGGCTGAAGCGGAGCATGAAGCGGTCCTCCTCCGACAGCTCCTCCATGGGTCGCTGCTCCTGCTCGAAGCGGGCGATCAGGCTACGCTCGTACTCCGTGGGCAGGAAGCGGGTCAGCAGCTCCAGGAAGTCCAGGCCAAGGGCCTGTAGGTCGTACCTGGTGGAAGGTGGGGTAGTTATCGCTCTATACCCACCAGTTCTCGAGGGCAGGACTATACCCCCACCCCACTACCTCGATTGAATAAATGAACTTCAGTATTTGCTCTTTGCCAATAGCTTCAGGGACCAAGAGGTAGGAGTCAGGGAAGTTGGGAGCTGGGAAGCCAGAGGTCCCTATCATACATCAGTGCCAGAGGCCCAGCTCTAAATGCCTGGGCCTGAGTGCCCACAGCTGGGCAAGGAGGCAGGGAGGAAACGGGAATGTCTCAGTCTGGGCGTGGACTCACACTATGGCCTCAGTTTTCTTGGCCTGAAAATGGGAACAAGGTTCCCAGCCCTACTCCCTGACCAGGGTTAGCATGAAGCTTGATGGGCTCTGCCCCGTAGTTGGGACTCTTTTACCAGATGCCTGATGACCCTGGCCTAGTAGAGGGGCTGGGCTACTCACAAGTACAGGGCAGAGGTACTCACGTCTCAATGGCCTGGCAGATGCGGTCAGCCCCCAGGTTGCCCTTGCGCAAGGTGATCGCCAGGTTCTTGGCCCGGTTGGCCTCAATGAGGGTGGCCTTGCTGGGGGCCTTCTGGGCTGCCTTACCCTTGAGAGCACTGAGGTCCAGGCTGGGACCTTGGGACTTAGTCTTGAACTGCTCCTCAAAGTCACTCATGTCTAGCTCCTGAGGGCACAGGGAGAGGAGGTGGGGCTGGGCGGGCTGGGGTCTGATATATTCCTGGCTGAACCAGCTATCCAGCTCTGACCACACCACCAGCAGAGAAACAAACCAGTAACCCGGCTTGACCACAAGCCCTGATGGGGGATACAGGGGAAGTATAGAGAGCATCGAGGGAGAAGAGCAGTACCCAACACTGGGGACCCAGACTCCAAGCCCTTACAGCTGAAGGAAAAGCTGAATTGGCCGGGGGTAAAAAGGGGAAAGGGAAGGGCATTCTAGGCAGAAGAAACAGCATGAGCAATGGCCTGGAGGCAAGAGAACACATTCCTTTTGGAAAACTAAAAGTAGAATTAGAAGGGCTGGAGGTGCCTGGGTGTCTCCGTTGGTTGAGCATCTGACTCTTGATTTTGGCTCAGGTCATGATCTCATGGTTGTGAGACTGAGCCCCACATTGGGCTCCTCGCTGAGCTTGGAGTTTGCTTGGGACTCTCTCTTCCCCTCTCCCTCTGCCCCACCCCTGCACTCCACCCTACTCCCTCTTAAAAAAAAAAAAAAAAAAAAAAGAGTTGAAACCCTGGTTGCCTGTGGGGGTGGTGGGAAAGAAGCTTAAAAGGAGGAGAGGCCAGACCGGAGGCCAGATGTGCCCTCTACAATGAGTGAGGGGAAAGCCTCCAGGGGAGTCAGGACATACTGCCTATCAGATACACTAATCCATGTATCTTAACAATCCCCGTAGTTTAACACCCATCCCTGGGCCTCCATGCCCTCATCCATACAATGGGGTGAAGGAGATGCCCTAGCATGATCCAGGCAAGTCCCCTCTCCCCTGGCACCCACACTGGAAGCAAGACAGGGCCACACTCACCTGCAGCACCTTCTCGTCATTGAGCTCAGTGAAGACAGTGCCCGTGATCTGGTTGGGTTTCAGGGCTACCCAGTTTAAGAGTGGCATTCTGAACTTGGTCTGTATGGGTTTCTTGGCCTTCACTCCTGGGACAGGGAGAGAGTGGTGAGCACTGGGGAGGTGAGGGTGGGGTCGTTGGCGGGACCCAGGGCCCAGAGAGGCCTGACAGGGCAGGCAGAAGGAAATAGGAGGCCCCCGTACACAAGGTCCTGGAGGACACTGAGGTCGGGGCACCTCCATATCTGCCCCCAGCCCTGGGCGGTCCACTCACCTGGGCCCATCTCAGGGCCGGACCCTCCAGAGGGACCCCCTGGAGGCGGCGGAGGCACGGGTCCATCTGTGCCGGGAGGCGGCGGTGGGGGCGGGGGTGGGGGCGGCAAGTCTCCCGGCAGCGGCGGCGGGGGCGGGGGCTCGGAGCTGCCAGGGAGGGGTGAGGACAGTGGGGGTGCCGAAGGCGGGGCTTCCTGCTGGTCGGGGAGGCCGGGAAGTGGAGGTGGTGGAGGCGGCGGTGGGGGTGCTGCTCCGGGAGCCGGCTCTGCCGCAGGTGGGAGTTCTGAGCCGAGAGAGAACCGAGAACCCAAGACGGGAAGAAGGAGGTGGGTACCAAGTTCTGGACCTAGGTGCTCTGGCCTCTGCCTCCCCTCCCTACGCATGCGCACTGGGTCCCCGTCCACCCTCCCGCAACCACCTGAGCCACGCCCACAACCCCGAACCCACGTCTCCCCACTCTCCTTCCAGACCCCGGTTCCCCCACGCCCACCGCACCCAGCCGGAAGCTCCTGCGCACCTGGGCTGGGTGAGCCGGTGGGCACTCCGGGGGGAGTCGGGGCGTCACTGCCGCTCGGAGTTGCCACAGCGACCGGAAGGATCTCGATGGAGACGGCATCCCCTGGCCCCCGCACGATACGGATTAACCCCTTCTCCTGCAGCTCCTCCACCTTCAGCTCGAGCGCCGAGGGCCGCGCCGCCGGGACGGAGGTAGGCACTTTCTCAGGCTCAGGAGGACGCCTGGAGGCGCCCATGGGGGTCGACTCGCTGAAGCGCTCCTGTGAGCCCCGGGGCAGGGGGGGGGGAGGTCAGTGCCTCCCAGCAGGCCTGGCACAGAGCCCCCACCCTCTTGCCCGGGTAGAGGAAGTGTCAAGCCTAGAAGCCCCACCGGGCCAGGTCTTGGGAGCCTGGCCCGCCCCTGGCCCGGCCCCCTCAGCCCCCAGCCTCACCCGCAGGGTCTCCAACTCCTTTCGAGCCTGGCTTAGCTGCTTTTCCAGCTCGGCGATCTTGGCCATGGATTCGTTCTCCGCGTCCCGAAGCTTCTCTGTCAGCTGTGGCACAGCTCATGGTGAGCCCCCACCCGCCGCTGGGCACTGAGGGGGCGGCAGCAGGCACGCCTGCCTGCAGGGCTGGGGGAGGCTTCCGGACGTGCCTAGCGGGTGGGCTGAGCCTGGCACTTGAACCCAAGTAGGTGAGATCCTGAGGGCACTAACATTCTCTCGGGAGGAGGAACCAAGGCACCCCTGAGGAGGGAGGTGGGTGGAGAGAGACTGGGCCAGGACGGGCGCCAGGCACCCAGTTCCACCCAAGCCAGGGTGTGGGCTCCGAGCGCCGGGAGAGGAGTGGCCTGCCTTTCTCAGAGGTCCCGCAGGGTAGGAGCCCAGTGAAGGCTCACTGAGAAAGAGGCCACAGGATTCGAGATTTGGATTCAGGTCAGGCAGACAGCCACCCGCTACTCATACCCAGAACTAATGCCTGATGCCGGTGTGAGGCCCCGGGGGCCTCCTATGTGCTGGGCCGAGTTGGGGAGTGGCTCTCACCAGGGCCGCCTGCTCCTGCAGCTCCTCCATGTGCTCCAGCACCGCGTTCTTGGTCTCAGTATCCTCCAGCAGCGCACCCACGTCAAAAACGTTGTCCAAGTATGCTTGAATCTGCACCTGCAGCTTGTCACTCTCGGTGAGCCGCAGCCTCTGCCCCGGACAGAAAGAGCAGGGTGAGGCCGGAGCTGAGGGGTCTTTCCAGGACCCCCCCTCACCCCTAAGGCCTAGAGGGAGGGGCCTGAGCCCCAGCGTGCTTTTTTATTATTATTGAGATATAATTGACATACCATAAAATTCATTATTTTAAAGCATAGAATTCAGTAGTTTTTCGTATACTCACAGGGTTGTGCAAACATCACCACTGTCTAATTCCAGAACATTTTCATCACCCCAGAAGAACCCCTGTACCTGTTCGCAGTCAGTCCCTATTCGCTCCTCCCCCGACCGCTGGCAACTGCCAATCGACCTTCTGCCCCTGTGGACTTATCTCTTCTGGACGTTCATATAAAGGAATCATACAGTTTTGGGGCTTTTGTGTCTGGCTTCTTTCACTTAGCATAATGCTTTTAAGGTTCCTCCATGTGGTAGCATGTATCAGTACTTCATTCCCTTACATGGCTGAATAATATTCCCCTGCATGGATATATCACCTCTACCAGCTTTTCACCTTTTGGCTTTCAGAAATCCAATCCCAAAGGCCCTGCTCCTCCAAGAAGCCTCCCAAAGGAATCGGGGAACCTGCAGCTTCTCTGCACAGGCTGGACCAGGAAGCGCCAAGCCCCTCTGCCTACCGTCCCCAGGGCAAGGAACTCCTCTAGGACCTGGACGCATCCAACATGAGCCAGCTCCCACTGTGGCCCAATATCTCCGTGCTCCCCATTATGCGCTTCAGTCAGAACCTGTCTGAGGCTGATGCTCCCAAAGCCAGACAGACCCAGGGCCACCCAGAGCCTGTTCCGGTGCCTGTGATAATAGCTCCATGGACCACGTGCCTATAAGGTGGCAGAAAACGTTCTGCCTCATTCTATTGAGAGTCATTATTACCTTTATGATTCTCTTGTTTCACAGATGGGAAAAATGAGACTCCGAGAGAAGAAGAAACCTATCCAAAGTCACATGGGCTTGGAAGGGGCAGAGTCGGGATTTGAACCAGATCTGCCTGACCTCAACACCCACGCTGCTAAGCACAGAGCCACACTCTGCAGTTGGTGAGTGGTTAAGTCCCAGCGGGGGGATGCACGGCTCACCTCCAAGTACAAGTCCAGGCCCAGGTGCGTGAACTCATATTGCAGGAAGACACGGAAGTTCATGTTCTCCACGGAGTGGACCACGATGTTGATGAACTGCATGCAGGCCACCTGGGAAGCAGAGCCCACAAGCAGGGCTGTGACCCTCCGGGTGGGGGTGCTCAGTGCCTTCTGTCCCCCATTTACTCCCAAGTCTCTCCTTTTCCCCATTTCTCACTCAGCGAACTCAGCTTTGGCCCTACCCGTATTTCTCCCCCAGGTCCCCTCCCTCCAGCTTCCCTGTCTCTGACATCCACCCTTCCCCGACCAGCCACTCAGTCCTCATACTTCGCAGGAGCAGAGCCCAGAAGCCGGAGACCCCGGCCCCCAGGCTGCTCCTCACACCGAGGGTGGCCAGGGTGGCCAGGCCCAGCCTGGGCTCCCGAGCTCACCATGAAGTCAATGTTGCTGTCCTCTTTCTGGAAATATTCCATCAGCTTTTCGAAGCGGTGCTGCTCCCCACACACCTGGGTGGGGAGAATGGCTGTCGTGAGGGCCCCAGTGACACACCTCCCAAGCCATTTCCAGCCACCACCCTTGTCTTTCTATGGGCTCCTCCCCACTAAATCGAAGTCAGGCCACGTCGCTCTTCTGCTCAAAACCTCCCCTCCCTCTCCATCTCCCCCAGCCCTCCCTTCACTTACTGCACTGGCCGCACTCGTGTCCTGGCACCTTCCCACCTCAGGGCCTTTGCACCTGCAGTTCCGTGCGCCTGGGGTGCTCTAACTCGAGATCGCCACCACACCAAGCCTCTCACTTCCCTCACAGCTTTGCTCAAGCTTCACCATCTCCGGGAGGCCTCCCTGTCCACCCTGCGACCCGTTCCTCCTGCCCCTCTGGCAGCCTGCTCTTGTTCCTCAGAGTGTCCACCGTTTTCAGATACATTATATAATCTGCTCATTTAGTATATTGTTTATTATCTGTCCTCCCCTGCCTTCTTTGTTTCTTGTGCTCACTGATGCATCCCAAGTGCCCACTCTGTGCCTGACACATAGTAGGCACTCAACAAATAGTCATTAAGGGAATGAATGACCGTACCCCACCTTATGCATCATATTCTCATGCATCCACTTAGCCAGAGTCAGCAGAGGCGTATGTATGCAACCCGGAGACGCATGGACCAAGCCCAGTTTGGATCTGGCCAGGCTGAGGGTCAGAGGTTCAGCAGATCCCCGTAGTTGTCCTTGTCGCCCCAGGCAGTGCCCCTACGTGACCTGGCTCCTGCCCTTTAAAGCTTCCCCATCCCAGATTATCCCCAGCCTGTGCTCCCCAAATGCCTGCCCAACACTCCCAGCTGCCCCCAGCGGAGGCCGCAACTGCCAGCCACAGGACTCCAAGCAGCCCTAGAGAGCAAGCACCTGTTGGGGTGGGGGGGCTTCAGTACCTCCTTGAAGTTGTCAAAGGCCGCCAGGATGATGTCATGCCCTCCTCGAACCAGGCACACGGCCGCCAGCAGCTCCAGCACCAGAGCCTTGGTTCTGGGGAACAGGAGGGCCAGTTTACCCCTTGAAAGCAGGCCCCACAGCAAGGCTGCGGGTGGGCCCGGCTGTGGGAGTGCAGGGAGGGCAGCTGATGGGGAGTAGGGGTGGGATGAGCCTGGTCAGCAGTCCTGAGAATGGGGGAGCAGAGTAGCCAGGGGTGAAGTGGCAGGAGAATCTAGACGTGGAGAAAGGTGAGGGGCCCGGACCTCACCTGGGGTTCTTGTTGTTGAGGCTCAGAGCAATCTCATTGACACAGGCTGGGTGGGTCATGACGAGGCTGAAGCCAGACTGGCGAGAGAGGAAAGGTCAGCTCCTCCAGGCAGACCCCCAGGACTGCCAGACCGGCCTGCCCAGCACCTCAGGCACTGGCAGGGCCATTGCCTCCTGGTCTCCCACTGCCCTCAGGCTTGGGAAGTTCTTCAGAGCCAACCACAGCCTTTTCTGTGGCGGCCAGAGCCTGGCCCCTCTTTCTAAATAACTTTGTTCGAAAGCCAGGGTCAGGATTCGGCACCTTGGATACAGTGAGCCCTCAACAGCCGGCTCAGTGAAGGAGGACTGGCCGCACCAGCCACTCCTCCAGACAGAATCACCCAGAGCGGCTGTCCCTGAGGGCGCTGTGTTCAGCCTTCCCTGGTGGGGGTGCCTAGGTCCCCACAGGAGGCATGTCCCTGACCCAGTCATGTCCAGGGTACTCCAGGGGACCTGACCAGGAGGGGGCAGAAATCTGGGCTTCCCCTCAAGCCTCATCGTCCTCAAGACCCTCAACAGCCCCCATCCCCAGGGTTCTCCAGCAGGGAACAAGGTCAGGGCTGGGGGGGACAGTGGGTCCCTGAACCCCAGCGGCTTAGGCAGCCCCCAGTGAGGACGGGCCCAGCTCCCCCGGGGCCCCCCAGTGCCTCACGCTCGCTGACCAACCTGGTAGTTCATGATGGCGCGCAAGCACATGATGCACACGTGGACGTCATCCTTCTGGCTAACGATGCGAGAATTCCGCAGGGCCTTCCTGCTGTGGGCAGGGGTCAGCCTGGGCGGAGTAGGGGGGAGGCAGCAGGGCTCAGAGTCCTACACCCGGCTTCCCACAACCCCTCCCCCCCCACAAGGCACATCTGGAACATTAGGTAATTGATTCCCACCCACCCACCCAAAGAGGCCGGCTGAGGGCAGGAAGGCTTCCTTGGTCCCGAGGCCTTGGGCCTGGCATGCTGCAAGGGGGTACGGAGGGGCTTCAGGAAGGCAAAGACCCTTAACAGCAACTTGGCATCAAAAAGGGTTGCTGTGTTGTGGGGGTAGACAGCCTATAGAGGGAAGACAGCCAAAGCCTGGAAATCACCATGGAAATGCTCTCCACAAGGTGGCGCTCCCAGCCTCATGGGCTAATCGGCCATCTTGAAAGGCCAACTCTGAATTCAGACTGCCTGGGTTCAAATCCCCGGCCACCACTTACTAGGCAAGTTTACTTAATCACCCTGTGCCTCAGTTTCCTCATTTGTAAAACAGGAATGGTAATAATAGTACCTTCCTGATAGGGTTTTGGGGACTATGAAATGAGCTTAGAACAGTGCCTGATACATAGTAAGTGCTAAGAGCGTCCTTGATAATTCTTTGCTAAAAAATATGTATTTTTTTTTCCTTGTTGCAGAACTGCCCATCATGACTTCCACATCAGTGCCTCTTGACAATTCTATTGTGTTTCCAACAACACTGGGAAGCCCTACCGCCTCCCTCCATCTGCCACATCGTCCTTCTCCCGTCATTGCTCAGATATGCCTGAGTCTTTGCTCATGCTGTTCCTTCCACCTGGAATGCCCCTCCCTGTCCCCATCACTGCCTGTAAAGCCCGTATCCATCTGCGAGACATAGTTCCAGTGCTCTCTCTTCTGGAAGACCTTCCTGATGCCCCGGGAGGTAGCCACCTCCCCTCTCAGAGCTCCCGGTCACACCTCCACGATAGCCTGTCCAACATTGTCCCCTTCTAGACCAAGGGCTCCCAAAGCCAGGGTGATCTCTCTCTCTCCTGAGCACCTGCTACCATGCCTGATACATAGGAAATGCTATAAAATATTTGTTAAATGAGTGAATGAATGAGCAAACAAAGGAACATATTGTGAGAGTTTGGGGCTTAATATGAAGTAGGTCCCTAAGACCAAAGTTGGAAGGATGGAAGCTGGGGGTCCACATGAGGCCCCAGGGCTGTCTTCTTCCCTCTCCCCCGCCTCCCAGCAGGATGTCCTGCATTAGGGTGGGGTGGCCTATCCACAGCAGGTGAACCCAGGGGTGTCAGCTGAACACCCCACCGAACCCCACCCCCACCCAGGGAGCCAACCAGGCATGCACCTGCCCCCAGGTGGCTACGTACCGGGGAGAGGGGGGGCACCTGGAGGCCGCACAGGAAAGAAGAGGGGGTTAGATAGGTACAAGGGAGGTCTCACCAACCCAGAAACACCTTCCTTATCCCAGACCCACCCAGATTCCAGTTCCTAGGTGCCCATCCCTGGAAGGCTTCTTAACACACCCATCTCTCAAGCCCTGCTCGAGGCCCTTACTGTGACCCCCAATGCCAGGCTGCCCCTCCCACCACCCCCAAGGGCCTGGGGCGGGGCTGGCAGGGTGCAACGGTCTAGGGGTGAATCTTCTATTCCCCCTGCCACCTTGCAAGGGGACCCACGTACTTGATGGTCAGGTGGCGGCTCTTGGGCTGGGGAGGCAAGGACGAGGGCGGCCCCTTGCTGAGATCTTCCACGGACTGCTCCAGGGGCTTGCTCTTCTCTGAGCTGGGGACTCCGTTGTCTGCGCTCTCCATGTCATACCTGCAGGGGTTAGAGTGGGGCTGAAGGCCCACCCTGCAGGGGCCCTCGAGGGCAGGGCAGGGAGCGCTGAGGGGAGAGAGGTATGTGCAGGGGAGATCAGGGGCTGTGCTCAGTGCTGTGCTGGGCAGAGGAGGGGGCCAGGGAATGATGGAACATAAGAGTAAGCCGCCCAGGTCCCAGCTGGCCACCCCAGGCCACATCCCTCCCTGTCCATGCAGGCCCTGAGGAAGGGACATCACCCACCACGCGGGTGCGGTGTGCGTGAGCCCAGGGTGGGCTGGGGCGGCACCGTATGGACATGGCCGGAGGCATGGATGAGGTACAGGGAAGCACGGACCAGGGCTCTGAGAAGCAGCGTGAGGCCGGGGCAGGAGGCTTACGTGACAGAGCACTGGGCAAAGGCCAGGTACTCAAGGAGCACATCCAGGCCGCGGTTCTCCTCGTTGAGGAACTCCTCCACCCACCTGCAGGGCACAGGGCTCCCTGAGTTCCAGCCAGGAGCAAGGTCCTGCCCAGACTGGGCACGGAACAGGCACAGCCAGGGCCCCGGGGCTGCTCATCCCCCACCCCACGCCCGAGACACCAGCCAGCCCCAACCTCAAAAGACCCAGTGAGGCTAGAGGGTGCTAGGGGGCTCAGGTAGGACCCATGGCCCCGCCATGCCTCAAGGGGTGAACAGAGGGTAGGCAGGAGAGGAGGCAGGGAAGTTGTACTGGACACCCCAACCCAGAGGGGCCCCGCAGGCACGGCCTATGCGGGGATGGGGGGTGTTGGGGGGTGACGGGGGAGTAGCAAGGGGAAGCCCCAGGAGCTGCCTGGGGACAGAGCTCTCCAAGGCCCCCAAGAGGGAAATCTGAGCCCTTGCTCACCCAATGTGGTTTGTTCTCAGGGAGATCTCCAGCTCCCGCAGCACCTGTGTGGACTCCTGAACTCGCCTCTTAAACTGGGACCAAGAACAGGAGAGTCTGGTGGGTGAAGCCTGAGCACCCCCACCGCCACGGCTGGCCTTTCACGCTCAGCCTCCCCCACCACCTCCACGTGCCTGCCTGGCGGAGTAAGCATCTCGGGCTACACACGGCCCCGCACACAGACGAGGGCGCACACACATGCACACACACAGAGCCTCAGGGTACACACACATTCAAATACGACTATCTGTGCAGCACACACACACACACATCCATACACAAGCACCCTGGGTACATCCATACACGGACACCTGGGCTACACACACACGTGTGCACGCACGCGCATGCATGCACATGCACATCTACACGTGGACCCAAGGGTACACACTCACAACCATGTGCGGACACGAAAGCACACACGTAGTACACACCCGTCCACCCCGTGCACACACGCTGCACAGTGCACACGAGTGGACCCGTGTAAGCCTCCGCAGCTAGGCAAAGGAGCCTGCCCAGGGCCCCCTCAATCCCCTAAAAGTATACACGCACATTCATACACATACCCACAAAGGCCACCAGAAAGTTTATTCACACAGTTACTCTAACTGCCCAGAGCTTGGAAGGTGCGGCGGGGGGGAAGGGCCAGAGAAAAAGGGGGAGACATATACCCCCAGGTTAGACATCCAGTCCGTCGCTCCCTTGCGGCTGACCCCACCGGTATCCAGGTAGCTCTTCAGCTTCTGGATATAGGCGGTGGGAGGGTTCTTGACTTGAAACCGCTCCTGGGGAGATGGAATGGGGTGAACAGTGCAACAGCTAGAGTCCCCAGCCCTTGCCCCAGAATCCCATCCTCAGCTCTGACCCCGGGTCCCAGGCTATCTGAAGGCCCCTCTGAAATACTAAAGATCTAACCAAACCACCCACCAGGCTGCTTTAAAAGACCCGAGTCCCGGACCTTCACTCCCCACGCTGGCCTCACGAGCCACAGCCCTAGCGCGGTCCTGAGGTGGGGTTTGGAGGTGTGACTACTGTCACACACCCCGCCCTGGTGGCGGGGGGCGGGCAGGGACCCCTACCCCAGCCCCAAAGCCTCTGGAAGCAGCTGCTCACCCTGCCGCCTGGGCCCAGCCCTTACCCGCCAGACTCCTGCACAGCCTGCTTATCCCATTCCAGTCCATTAGCAGGAGCCGAAGGCCCAGCGCTGGCTCCCAGGGGAGGCTCCTTGCTCCCCACCTCCCCACCCCCAGCCTCCCTCCCTCACTGAATGAGGTCCCCACCCTGGCCCAGCAGCGCCAGAGGGGTCTTCCCTGCCACCACAGACAACAGCCCTAGGAGCCGGAGAGGCAGGGGCACCCGGTGAGCCACGAAGGTGCAAACCCAGGGCCGGACCGAGCACCAGGAGACAGGGCTTCTAGTTCTCGCTCTGCCACTTGGGAACTGGTCACCTTCGGGCTGTTGCTTGGTTGACACTAGTTCCTCTGGGCCCAAGCAAAAGAAGGACGGGGATGCTGTCCCTTCCTCCTCACCTCCCATGGGGTCAAAGAGGCCCAACCCTGGGGTTGCCCCCTCTCCTCCCCAGCCCAGAGCTGGAGGGTCAAAAGAGGCTGCTCCAAGAAGCCCAGCAAGGAGGACGGTGACATGGCCTGGCTGGATTGGCCAGCGCCCCGCACTAGCCCCTGCCAGCTCTTCAGAGGGCAGACCCAGCCCTGCTAGGGACTCATAAGGTCCTTGGAGAGGCCCATGTCCAAGAGAAGGAGACTGTAGAGTCTTGAAGACACCCCCAGCACCCTGTGCAGATGCTACACAGGCCTCTGGGCAGGGTCTTGGCCCTCCCAGCAGCGTGGCAGTGCCCCCCATCCTGCCAGCCCCAGCCTGGCCAGGGCAGGGCACCCTGATGCCGGAAGGGGCTGGTACCCACCTGGTCACAAATGAGCTCCCACTTCTTCTCGTTGTCATACTGGCTCAGCAGCTGCACTTTGTCCGGGGGCAAGTTCATGCAGTTCTGGGGAGGGGGAGGACAAGGTAAGGACCCGGAGCCTGGGGCCCCAATGTGAGGGGCAAGGCATGGGGTCAGCTCCCTAGGAGATCTGTCATCCTCGTGAATCCCTGTCACCCTCTCTCGCCAGGAGATAAGTAGATCAGCCAATGAGAAAACCGAGGCCCAAAGCTAGAAAGCGACACCGGGATTTGGCCCTGAGGCTGCCTGACCCCAGGGCCCGGGCTCCGTCATCCGTACACCACCTCCCCGCACGTCGGCCGTGATGGTAAGGGCATGGGTTCTCAGCCTAACTTCCTGGGGCCTCCGGCACCTCTGCTCACTTCCCCATATGCAATAAGAGGGTACCATCTCTTCTTGCATTTGGGCGGGATCCATCTCCAGCCAGGCCCCATTGTGCCCCACTCCTGCGTGCCACCAAACACCACGGGGACTACGTGCGGCCCTGGCCCAGGGCACCAACGTCACAAACACCAGGAAACCTCTTGCCAGGGTGGAAACAGCTGTGTCCTCCTCATCCCTCTCCAGCGCCCTCCCTCTTCATCACTTCTAGAAGGAGGAGACTGAGACAAGTCAAGGGAGCTTGTCAGACAGGCAGGGAACTCCAAGCAGGCGCATCACGGCTGGAGGGGCAGGGGGGGATTCCTGGGGAAGGTCACCCAGCCACAGGAACTGGGGCCGGCAGCCAGCATCCTGGTTCTGTGGTGCTGGTGGCCCAGGCTGGGACTCTCCTCAGGAGCTAAGAAAGGTCAGCATTGCTCTGCCTGGTCCTCCTCCCCCAGCCACAGCCGTGCCCATCCAGCTTCTCCCTCACAGGGCGGGTGTAGGGTCCTGCCCGGTGCTGCCAGCACCAGGGGATCCCTGGCCCCCCTGAACTTGGCGTGTCTTCCTAATAGACACAGAAGATGACGCCAGTCTACCCCAATTCAGTAAACCCCAGGCTAAAAGAGGGTCTCCTAGGTGTCAGGCCCCAAGAGAGTTCTTGCCCTCAAGGAGTTCCGTCCCGCTGAGGATCCCCAGCCCCGAGTCAGAGGGCCCCTGTCACCAGCTCTGGTGGGTCACTACACAGCCTCGGTCACAAGGGCCTGAGAGGGGGCCACACCCACCCTAGGCTCTGCAGCCAGCTTCCTCGCTGGGGCGCTGGGCCTAGTTCTGGGGCTCTGGCCAGACCTCACCCCCAAAAATCACTGCCTTAGGTCAGTCCCAGACAACAGGAAGCTGGCTGCTCTCAGGCCCCATTGCCCAAGCTTTCCGGCGGGTGCCCCACTTGAGAGGTGAAAGGGCCTACCCACCAGGCCCCCCAGGCCAGCTGGGGATGGGGGTACGTCATTCTTCTCCCCATTGCGAAAGTGAGCCCCTGGACTGAGGAAACCGCTGCTGTCTCCTC